CCTATTATTCTCTTCCTCAGAAAACAGTAAAGTGAACAAAGAAAGTTGCCTCATGGCTTATAAATTGTGCCATTTTCAATTCATTTTTGGTTTTCAAAAATCTAAACCCTCATTCAAAATTGAAATACAAGGCAGTTCTGCTGAATGTGGCAAAAGCCTGGGCTACAGACCAGACGGTGGCGGCAGAACCAGCGGCAGACACAGACTTAGTGCAACAGGGTCCGTCAACTCCCACCCCACACAGGCCTCATGTGGACCCCCTGGGCAACTCTCAGGTGACATGCGGAAACATACCCTCGTGAAAACTGTGAAGAGTGAACATGCCAAGGGGAAGCAGCCTTCTAGGCGATGCCATGTTTGCGCAGCACACAACAAAAGGAGTATGACTGTCTACATGTGCAAGTTCTGTGTAATGCCACTTCACAAAGGGGAATGTTTCCAGAAATATCACACTCTCAAGCACTTCTAGGAGACTGGTAAGTGTTCTCCAAAAATTTTAGTTCATAAAATTAATTACGAGATTTTATATTAATTTTTAAAGTGAACAGTGCACAAGTTAGGGTAGTAGGTTTAAAAATGCCAGTCCTCAGGGTGATTTAAATATTTAAATCGCCGGTCCGCGAAGTGTTAATATAATCAAGATGTTACTGGCTTGAAGAGTTCTATCCTTTGGGTGCAGAATGGGAATACAAGTTCTCTTATTTGGTCACAGCACGTGAATTAAAGTGAAACATGTAGCTAGTCAGTTCTCACATGACACATGAACCGAGAAAGAAAAAAATATATTTCATTATACCACTTAAATTGTTTATATCAGAGACATGACATAAAGTGCAACAGGCAAAAGTAAGAAGATACAAGCAACTGATATGAAAATTTGAGGGGAAAACAAGGAGGGATAGAAACAAAACTAAATGAGAGAAATATTTTCTTCAGTGCTGCTCAATATGGCTAACAGAGAAATGATTATGACAGTCTGGCCATGTAAACTTAGTGGAAAGAACACAGACACTGAGAAAGGAGTTAGAATTTATGAGAAGGATACGTATGAGATAACCCAGAACCAGAAGGTTCAGCCAGATACTGAAAGAGTGGCAAGATTTTGAAAAGGAAAGACAGTCAAAAGGAAGAAAGGACATGGAAAAGATTTTCCATCGGCTGCATAAAATGGAAATCAGGAGGAGGAGGAGAGCAAACTGCCAGAAAACAGGCTGACACTTCTGGAGATTACATTTGAAAAGAGCTTCACTTTCAGTCACAGACTGTCATTTCATTTAACTGACCATAGGAACAAAAACCAATTTCTAATGCTGAAAATTCTGACATTGATAAAATGGGGATGAAGGGATAATAAATCAAGAGAGACAATAATATTACATTTATTTTGACTTGGAGTAATTTTGAAGGCAATAATGAAAATGAAATGCTGGTAACAACAGGTTAGAAAGTGTGTTGTGCAGAAGGAAGGAAGGATGGACATGGGAGCAGGAACTCTGGGAAGACAGAGAGAGATTGGGAGGCTTGCAAGGAAGAAGCACTATCTTTGACAAGAGAGTAACACACTGTCCCTTGCATGTACAAGTCATACTGACTTCCAGTATTTAATGCTTACCTTCTATGGCCAAGATACTTCTCAGCTCTCTATTGAGAAGCTCAAACTTCCTCTCTAAATCATCTTCCTTCTCCCTGGAAGGAGAAAAAAGGAAGTTTCACATTTATACCTAGATAAACAGGAGTGTCTGGAATAAAACTCACATAATCATACAAAACAGTGCAGCAACATCATCACCACGGACACAAACATAATTTGGTTTACTCTGGAAACACTATTAATCCGAATATATTCAAATTACTTACAAAACGTGAGCCAGGAAGAATGTGCCAACCTTTGTAAATTAAGTAATCAAGTGATTTGCAGTAAAAAGAGACCTGTTGACATGGGTTCAATTTAGAAAGTTTAAGGAGTCATGGAAGTTTGAAGATAAGTTAAAGATGCACCAGAAACAGGTTTCAAAGTGGAATTCCACAGTAACTTCAATGAAAAGCTAACTAACCAACAGACCAAACGACCAACTGGCTGATCAACCAACCAGTTAACTTCATGGAGCTGAGCCCTTCCCAAGAAGCCGCCATTTGTGCAGCTACTCAAGTACATCCCAGCATTTTATGGAACTCCAAGATTAATTACCATGTTCAAAACAGCCCTCCACTGGTCCCTATCCTGAGCCAGATTGATTCAATCCATGCCAACCCATCCTAGCTCTCTAAGATCCAGTTTAATATTGTCTACCCACCTATGTCTTGGTCTTCCTAGTGGTCTGCATTCCATTTCGCCCCCATTCATGCTATATGCCCTGCCCTTCTCATCCTCCTTGACTTTGTCATTCTAATTATATTTGGAGAAGAGTACAAGTTATGAAGTTCCTCATTATGCAGTTTTCAATGTGAAACTGAAGTAACCATTATTTAATAATGACACATATTATGAAAACTATTTGAAGGGTTCACCTGAGTTTGAGAATGGGGAATTACTGAAGGGGTCAGTAACAACACGGGTAGAATTTCCATGACTCCTTAAACTTCCCAAATTGCACTTCCTGTTACTCAAAATAACCTGCTTAATGTTTCCACAAAGTTTTGAAGAGTCCCTATGAATCACTGTGTGCACAGTCCACATGGACTGTCGTGCAGTTACTGCTGGGCTACGTGTGTGAGCAGAACAAACTCTACATGCAGTCACTGGAACAAATGGAATCCTCAGAGCGGATCCCTCACTTTTGGGATGAGATGCTGTGTTGCTCTGTGCTGCACCACACAGCGTCACATCTCAGAAGACGGCAACTGTTGCAGTCAAATCACACACTGTGTTACTAGTACATGATGGAAGTTCGAACAGTAGAGGGAATTAATTTGTATTCTTGCGTTAAATCAACAAAAGAAGATCAGACAAATGAGTAATAGCATTTGTTACATCTGTCCATATCTTCTTGATATTGTCTGAGAAGAACACATCTTGAAGACTGGTAACCAGGTAATACTTTTCTAGTGGCTGATGGTCACGTGGGATGAACGTCGAGAATATACAGTACATGTGGGGGAAGCTCAAATTTAAGTTTTTGAACAGAATTGCAGCATGCTGCCAGTGGTGCAATTTGAGAGCAGAGGCAACATGCTTACACTACAGCTGTGGGAAACACATTAAATATAGCAGCTAAACCCAAGCCATGTCTCAACTCGTATACTTTGTGATGCTCACGCACATTCTAGCATTTATGCTGCCATTTGTTTCGTTAACTGCCATTACTTTGTGAACCATGAAACACATTTTATGCAACTTTGCCAAAACCATCAAAATGTTAACTGTGTGATCTGTTTCTGATTTTAGTGTTTCTCAGTGACTCACTGGTGTTGTTGCCTTCTGCTCTATGCTGTGTGCATGTGGGAAGTGTCACCAATGTTTTGGAGCTACATGCTGCTGCCATCTTCAGGGCCATGGTCAAAGTGTGTACGTTAAGTGAGTGTGCAAGCAAATATAATTTTGGTCCAACAGACCCATGGTGGGAGAGGTGGGGGCAGGCCCCTGTCTGCACCAACAGGGCCAGTGGACAGAGAATTATTATAAAAACACCAGCTGCAAATGGCTTTTTGGTGCCCTCAGTGGCCCTAAATAGAGCTACTTTTGTAACATTTCTCTGTCCACCATTCTCCTTAACATGGACAGGGGACTAGCCCCAGTCTTTGCCCAGGGGATGCATGGACCAAAACATACACATACAAAAATGCTGACTGACCCTATACACTTGACCCTGAAGACGGAGGCACCAAGTACATGCCTCATTGCCAATATCCACATGGTGCAAAGATTCAAGAGTAGTGCCAATACCAAAAACATATGACCCATGAGTAGAGGCACACAGTAGCAAAGCTGGTTGAGGCACAAGGCTACAAGCCAGTAGGTCATGGGTTGGATTCCCAATGAGGTCACTGGATTCTCAATTGACCTAATCCTTTCAGCCGCATTAGGGCCCAGTGGTCGACTCAGCCTCAAACAGAAATAAGTACCAGGAATCTTCCTGTGGGTAAAGGGAGGCTGGTACATAAGACTGACAACCTCACTGCCATCAGTTAGCCAACTTTCTAGAAAATGTGGGAGCTTCAACGTGTCACAACCCTATGGGCCTCCACAGCCTGTTACAAGGATAGCTTAGCAATATCAGGCTCACGTGATAAGTAGACAAATGTCACAAGCTGTTACAGGGATAGCTTAGCAATATCAGGCTCATGTGATAAGTAGACAAATGTCACAGGCTGGTATGGGGATAGCTTAGCAATATCAGGCTCACATGATAAGTAGACAAATGTCACAAGCTGTTACAGGGATAGCTTAGCAATATCAGGCTCACATGATAAGTAGACAAATGTCACAGGCTGTTACAGGGATAGTTTAGCAATATCAGGCTCACGTGATAAGTAGACAAATGTCACAAGCTGTTACAAGGATAGCTTAGCAATATCAGGCTCACGTGATAAGTAGACAAATGTCACAAGCTGTTATGGGGTTAGCTTAGCAATATCAGGCTCACGTGATAAGTAGACAAATGGCACAAGCTGTTACGATGGCACTGAAGATTCAGAACAAATACTCTGCATGCCTGAGAAGCAGGTGAAGAGGATGGGCAAGAAACAAGACACTAAAAGTGCATTAGTTCAACTCACAGAATATTTAACTGCATCTGTCTTCTTAAGAGAGCGTTCTTCTTGTTCACCAATGGAAACCACTTGGCCATCAGCTGTTCCTCTCTCTCTTTGTCATTACCTGTGACAGACAAGACAGTCTTCTGTGATACAGTACCATGTAGTCTAGCAGACAGGTACATCATGTCAGAGAAACCTGCTACTGCAACTGCATTTAAAGCAGCAGAAGTCATCTACTGTAAAAAGAAGGTGTCAGGATTCTCTAGAATGGCAACACATCTCAAAAGACTTCTTAATATTCACTGTCAGAGGAACCTAAAACTTCACACGGTGTATCAGTACACACAGGATTCTGGACTTCATCCACTGTGTAGTATTCTGAAACACATACCAGATAGTGGATCTGCTTCCATGGTCAAGTGAAAGTGTGGGGAGACATATGCTCAGATGGGTGTGTTAGAAAGTACTGTGTTCCAGCAATTCATATGACCTATAACGCAATTTTATCCAAGGACAGAAACAGATCTAGTTTCCAAGAAGCTGTATTCTTTCGGAACATCAGATAATGGAGAAAGTCAAGCAATTAAATAATCCCGACTTCAGACAGTATAACTGCCCTACAGTAACCTCAAACACGACTCCAACTATCAGCTTCTTATTTGCATTATGCAGTAACTTTCACTTTAGTCTTTCAAATGTTCTGTTTCGCGTTATTTTTGATTGCCTTGTTACATCTTGATGAAAACAAATTGTTATATGACACAAAACCAAACCACATATTAGACAGAATGTGTCACACTGCAACCTAAGCATTCTATTTATTAACCTCTTCTGGGTTACCTTGAAAATATCTGCACCCTTACTTGGTACTCCTACCTGGGCATGGCACATATATCTGTTGCACTGTTTTTAAAATTTGCTGTATGTGACCTAGACATTGTATCAATATGCAGTAAAAAACATAAAGTTGTCCCTGTGCTTAACTAATTAAGCACTACACCTTGAAAGTGTATGGGGGAGTGGATGTATAGGTCTACATTTTCTGACCTCAGCATTGGTTGGAGGTGAGTGGTCAGCTTCACACCCCTGTTGCTTTGCCCCAGGGAAAGAGGCCCCAGTACCCATTGGATAGGAGGCTAGATGGGCCCCACAACTGGACTAGACTGCATGGAGAAAATTCTTGATCCTACCAGAACTCGAAATCTGACCCCTCAGTTGTCTGGCCCGTAGCCAGTCACTATACTGACTAAGATATCCTGGGTCCTATTGATATGCAGAATAAACCTAAATATTCCCGCTGGATATCTCCCAGAACTAATTCTGTTGAAGTGCCATGAAATCCACTTACAAACTTACAATGAATTTTTTTTTAATATTGTGAATATCCATCATGTGTCAGGTATGCCATGCGACCTAAACACTCACCCGCAACAAAGTTAGCTAGGCACTGCTGCAGGCTAGATAACAACTGGCCTTTGTTAGAATACATTACAGTGTTCTCTTCAGAAACATGACATGCAGACTGCCTAATACAATTCCAAACACTTTCTGGGTTAAACCAAGTCTCTGCTCCTCAGACTGCACATGCCTCATGATTAGACACAGTGAATGATACCTGATTCCATCACCCTTCGCAAATCCTTTTCAAGGAAGGCTGCTTGCATGTCGATCTGCTTCTGTTCTCTTTCTAGTGCTTCGAGTTCATTTTGGATGTAATTAACCACATCTTTGCCATGCTGAAATGAAGTGGGAATAAAAATTAAAAATTTGAAACTGACTGGAGACAATGCCATTATACATGTGGCAGCTGCTGAGACAGTAACACAAATTATTTCCCTGTGAAGAGCGCTACCATCCTCCCAGGTGTGACGCGTTGCTTTTGGGCACAAGTTCACACACATGGGCAGCAAGCTTCCTGTGTGTCTGCTTGGTTTACTTTTAGGCCATGATGATGGAAGCAGTATGCACCTCCAAAACGTCAGTCAACTTCGATCAGACTACATGACATATCCCAGATGACAGTATTCTTTATGGCTACTCTGCGAGATCCCACTCCCAATATTTTCTGTTTGTATTAACACAGCGAACTTCACAGAATAGCAACATACACCAAGCGGTACTGCTACCTAAGACATACAAGTTGTAAACAAAAACGTTGCCCCTGTGCAGTTCCAAAACTGTTGATAAGAAAGAAACACTACATGCTGTTTCTAATACTGGTATTTACTGTTCAAGTAACAAAGTAGGTACAGTTTACTTGGTATAATACATTTTCGAAAATTCCACTGTCAACATCAGTGCACTTTACAACTTGTGTCAGTACATGGTGTGCTGCTCATCTGTGCAGTGTACAGTGTACTGTACAGTGAAATAGCTCTGTCTCGNCGTGCTGCTCATCTGTGCAGTGTACAGTGAAATAGCTCTATCTCGGTGCAACTCGTGTGAGGACATGGCATGTTGTTCGTCTGTGCAGTTGCAGTGTACTGTATGCTGAAATAGCTCTATCTCGGTGCAACTCATGTGAGGACATGGCGTGTTGTTCGTCTGTACAGTGTGCAGTGTACTGTACAGTGAAACAGCTCTATCTCGGAGCAACTTGTGTGAGGACATGGCGTGTTGTTCATCTGTACAGTGAAATAGCTCTATCTTGGAAACCGTTTGGAACGGGACACATGTATACATACACTTTTTTGCTTAGAATGACCAATACTATGACCTCCAAAAATATTAACTTTTCCTCCTGGGACACCAGTATATTTTCTAAAATTATATTTGACAATAATTTAATGAGGATAGAGGATGGGCAGGGGACAAAAAAGATATGAAATGTGCACAAAACTCTGGTTGGAGGGCCCAATCAGAAGAAACCACTGGGATAAGCTATGAATTAACTGGAGGATAATCTTAAATGGCTTTCAAAGAAAAAGGATGGTAGGAGTCAATGGGATCAATTTTGTTGCATACAGAATCAGAGGTGGGCTCATATGAATGCTGTAATAATAAACCTTCAGGTTCCATTAAAGGTGGGCAATTTCTTGAACAGCTGAGTGACTATCAGCTTTTGAAGGAGAACGCTGCTCCATGGAGGTAGCCAAGAATAACTTACTCACCCCTCTCTGATATACATCCCCGATATTTTTATCGGGTGAGATTCGATCCATGAGTGAGGTGAATGAGTGAAGAGGTGAAGTGTTCTTCTTAGTATTAGCCTCCTCCTCGCCTGCCAATGGATTGTGGTGTGGGACACCGGAGGCTACACTGTCAGCAGATGTTGGGGTGTTGGACGGACTCCAAGCCAGTACGTTGCCATTCTTTTCAGCCTGAAATTAGGTTACAATGCTTATACTTATGTCAAACACAGCAAATAATTGGGATTGCAATGTTCAGGTTATAGTCTGGTAGGTGCATACCATATACTTGGCCATCTTCAGGGCTGCAGTGGCCAAGGATGTGGTCAGGTTATGCAGGCATGATAACATGCGCAGTAATGATCATGTAAAAGTTTGTAACAATAGCATATTCATTACAGAAATATTATGCTGGATACTGTCCATGCACCAGGGTATATTTAAAATACACAACATTTTCTTAACTTGAACCATTTCCACCATGCCATGTGGGGGGGATCCTACTTAGTTGGGCGCTTTAGATGGAGGTGTGCTGATCATGGTGGTTTTTCATATTTTAGATATACCCTAGGTAATGGTATAGTTATTCCCGTCCTTAATTAATTAAGTACTATGCCTTGGTAATGTACAGCGAACTATTCTTAACCTCGGAACTAGACTGGTCAGCTTCACGCCCTAGCTGCTTTACCCCAGGTAAGCAGTGCCCAGTACCAATTCCACAGGAGGTTGGGTGAGCCCCAGAACTGGTATAGACTCTATGTTGAAGAGAGAACTAGCTTGCTCCTGCCAGGAATCAAACCCCAGTTCCTCGGGTCATGCAGCTTATAGCCCAGTCAGTATACTGTTCAAGCTATCCCGGCTGACCAAAAATATAACCTGGATAATATCCAACATAATATCTGTATAATGGATGACAGTCATGGGAGAGGACCATGATACTGAGCCACTGGGTGAATCTCTTACTACGAATTTTGAAGGAACAAACAATTTGTATTTATAAACGTTGCACAGATTAACAAATTGTGACTCTAATTCATTTAATGCCCAAGCTTACAAATATTTTAACAAATTTAATGATTATCTTACAGAAATAATAAATTCAACTTACAAACACATTTCAAAAAACATGCTGTGTTCATAAGTTGAGGTTCACCTTTAGTGGACAGCAAATTGGGGGGGGG